CAAAGAGAAAGATATCGAATCTTACTTCACTTACAGCATGTTCATGCAAGTTGCTTCCCAGGAACCAAGCTCACGCCACCTCGTCATCGAGGACACCTTGTTAAGGTAGTTTCTTGATCATGCGGGACATTAAAACTGTCCGAGCCAAGCAGGAAGCAGCTACGGCTACAGTACGCCACCTGGCTGCTACAGTATCATCGGTCATAGGAATAGACCAATGTCAAGCAATGTCTTGGAGGCAAGATGCTGACAATGATGTCATGATACTTCCAACTGAACCATAGCAGAGGACCTCCCTAAGCTCGAAATCGCCTTACCGAGACGCGCTCCTACGTGATGGGAAGCGTCATGAGATGTGTCAGGGGCTAGACTATGATTGCAGCAGTCGTATGACTTGATGTATTTCCGTTTCCGTAATAATGTGACTAAAAAGGACGGGGCCAGGGGTAGAGGACATGGGTTGAGGAAAGCTAACGCAGATGGACATAATGAAATTGAGATTTCGAGCTTGCCTTGAGCTAAGGAGAGGCATGTCTTAGGGGGGGTTCACATTTGACGCCATCGGGACGTGCGTCAGCAACAAAATGAGAGGGGAATAGAAAATGGTACGAATGCTACCTCGCGGGTATCTTAGATATCAAAGATAGGACGACAGCTGGGATTTCTGCAAGCTCCAAAGGGTCAAATGACTGGTCGTAGCCAGTCTGTGGGTATCGGGAAGAGACGGCAGGGTCATCACCCACGGCCTTTGGTCCACGGCAGCGGGGACAAGGATAGCTATAAACCTTGTAGATCCCGTCGATGCTTTATTGTGGCTATCTCGCTTCTTGGATCTATCTTGGGGAACTATCGAAATTCGAGATAGTAAGCGTTGATGTTGGTTTTCGAGGAGTTGCTATAGACTAACAAGTCCTAGCCGTTACTATGACATTTCAAGCTCGGAGCAATAAAATCCTTGGCTTCGGATTGACGATATCGAGATCAAAATGCAACGGGAACGGTATGTGTACCCGAAGAAAAAAAGAGTTGCATAAAGTCTTCGTGTGGTGGCTATCCTGATCCCGTAATCCTGCAAAGCACATTGGCGGCTCTACTTACATACATACTAGAAGAGCTGTCGTTAGTTTACGGTGAAAAAAGGCGTCTAAGCGAAGCAGCGATGTAACGCTACAGCAGCATACGCCACAGTCATGCGTGCCAGCTGTATACAGTGCAGTATATCCCAATCTTCAAGTGTCAAGTGCCCCCCTCAACCACGGTTGGACTGTATCTACCCCTGTCTATATCGTGGGTGGGTATCATAAATCTACAATCTACAAAATCTGCACTCCAAGCTCGCGGGATTTAGACCGGCTATGCAGGTTTTGGCACCGCCTTTCTCGGTTACAAGGCTACTCCCGCATGTGGTTAATATACCTAGTCTATGGTACGTGGTCGACCATACTGCTTGTGGACATCTTGTGGACATGTACGAAAATAACCCCCTCGGTTGCGTCATGATGGGTGGATGGGCTGAAAAGCCGGCCCTAGTCTTGGCAGGGCAACGAGCACGATTATCATGTACCACGACTGGCACGCTCGTTAAAATGATCACCTAAAGTGGGACTGGGGTGACTGACAGGCAGACAGTGACAGGGCCGGGTATATGGGGAAATTTATTGGATTTTAGTCTACCAGACGAGTTCCGTTCCTTCTGATGCTTAGCGTACCGAATCTACAAACCCATGACTACCCTAGTATTCAGCCTGCTTTTCTCTCGTCGAATCAGACGCGCGGTCACGCTCCAGGAACCGGGCGGAAGCGTCGCATTTTCCAATCTGACGGTCCATATTTCCGGCAACCCGGCGATCATTGGCGGCGCCGCGGGTGCAAGGGCCCATCTTATTAGCTTGGTGATCACATACTATAGAAACTCCCCGTTATTCTATTATTGGATGACTTCACGTCTGACCAAGCTCAAGGCAGTGCTACCCGAAGGCCAAGGGCACATGCAGTTGAAGAAATGAAATGCAGATGGAAGTGAAGACTCAACATTCAGCTTCTGTACGATATTGCCGTGTCATCGTACCATCCTTGCTAGCGGTTCCTCATAATATAGCAAATCCGGGGTGAAACTGTGTGGCACGCATGCCTAAACTTGATTTTGTGAAGAAACCACTGTCGGCTGTATTCTGGGTGGACTAGTCAAGCGACATGTCAATTCAGCCCGAACAAAAATGAGATGCCTATATATATTAAGGGACGATGTCGGCCGCGAGATCATCACGACGACCTATCGCCCTTCCGGACTCAGCTAGACGGCCCCCCCAAAGAGGAGCAAGAGAAGTACCAATCTACAAGACAAGATGGTCTCTACTTGGGGACTCCTCGCCTCGGCTTTCGTCCTATCAGGACTGGCCCTTGCCGACACCTGCTCCACTCTCAAGAGCATCTCTACCATCGATGTTACCGATCCTCTTGATCTATCATATATCGGCGAGCAGATCGACTACTGGTCCACCTCTTGCTCCGCCCTGAAGCCCACTTGTATTATCTTCCCCAAGGATGCCACCGAGGTATCTGCTATCGTGAAGGTTCTCGGCGACACCACGGAGAACTTCGCCATCAAGTCGGGCGGGCACAATCCCAACAATGGCTGGTCTAGTGTCCAAGGTGGCCCTCTCATCTCCACCCAGAAGCTCACGCAAGTCATCCTGGACGAAGAGACAGGTATAGCTAAAGTCGGGCCGGGACAGAGGCTAGATAGCATCTCAGCCCAGCTCCAAGGGACAGGCTGGACCTTCGTCGGCGGCCGAATTGGCAACACCGGCGTCGGCGGCTTAGTCCTCGGCGGCGGTCTGTCGTACATGTCAGCGCAGTACGGTTGGGCCGCTTCTTCCGTGCTAGAGTACGAGATCGTACTGGCTAACGGCACCATCGCAACCGCGTCCGCCACGCAAAATGCGGATCTGTTCAAGGCTCTGAAGGGTGGCGGCAACAACTTTGGTATCGTCACGACATACACCCTCCAGTTATACCGTCAAGGCGACGTTTTCGGCGGCAACCTTGTCTTCCTGCGTACCCCTGAGAAGGACTCGGCGCTGCTCAAGGCCGTCAGGGACTTTACCGAGTACAACACAGACGACAAGGCAGCTGTCATCGTCACGGCGGAACGCGGCAACATTGATCTTCTTGACACTTGGATTCTTTTCCTCTTTTATGATGGAGCGGTGGTGCCCGAGGGCATCTTCAAGAACTTTACCGACGCCGGCCCTCTGCTCGACACTACCAGGGTCCAGACCTATGCGGACCTGATGGCTGGCAGCAACTGGGTCATCGTCAAAGGTTCTGTCGTTCAGATCGGAACCGAGACGATTCCCATGCCGTCGGCTGAGGATAGTGTGACGGTTATGGAGGGCATCCACGCCCACTGGCGAAACATCACGGACACGGTGCTGCTCGAACCGGGCATCATCGCCTCCATTGCATACCAGCCATTTCCCAAGCGAATCGCACAGGCCGCAAAGGAAAGGAGCGTGGACTTGATCGACGCTGACGATGCGGCCAACCGGCTGATCCTCGAGCTCAACTACAGCTTCTTGCCGCAGGGCGATTACGAAAAGATGGATGTGACTCTACAGCAGACAGTAAGTACATCTCAACGAGTGCTGGTTCTAAGTTCTAGAGAGTAGTTACTAACACATGGGACTGCAGTACGGCGGTGTGCGCGATCGCGTACTCGAGTGGCAGCAAGAGGGGATCTTACCAGATATATATCTACCCGTCTTCATGAACTACGGATTCCACCAGCAAGATTACTTCGCCCGGCTGCGCCCGGAGAACAGAGCGTTGGCACACGCGGTATCGGAGAGTGTAGATCCCAACGGCTTCTTCCGAACCAGAATAGGAGGCTGGAAGCCCTAATTGCATTACGAATGTGTCTTTAGAAGCAGTGCACTTCTGTCTACCCTATTTCTGTTAGTTTTAGACTCGGGAATTTGGTGCTGTTCCGCGGGTTGTCTGGGGGAAGCAAGACATGGAGTTGTCAGAGGATAATATATATGTCTCTTGCTGCATTGGCAGTATTAATACCAAGAGTTTGCTATAATATATCACGATCGTATATAGCAATTCCTTCAGTTACTGGGTGTCTTATATATGCCAAGAGCCAGTTTTGTATACACACGAATAAGAGGAACAAGAGAAAGGGGAGAACATAAACATTAGCATGGTCAGGTTTTGAGTCTACGCATGCATACATAACGTTTCTGAGAACACAAACTTCATTGCTCCATGATATATAAGGCCTTTTATCCTGAGCCCAGCCCCCGCTCCCCCCTATCCAGACCAGCAGACCAACCAATTCTTATCGATGAGAGGCCAAACGCCACAGGTCTGGCGTTTGCTACAGTAGCACTCGTGTCTTCTAAACTAACTTCCTTATCTCTATCTTGGAAGCATCCCTTCAGCTTTGAACAACGCCATGTAGTAGAGTTATTTACAATCAAGACTGAGGCATTCAACAACTGGCAACCAGATCAGCAGACTACGTTGCTCACTGCCTAAACTATCAAACACACCAGGCAGGTCGTCGCAAACCCTTAAAAGGAAGCCGATAGACAAACTAACAACTATGCCAACTCCACTTCGACCACCCTCTTCAAGCAAGAAAGAGCCTTTGCATTTGGTGCCTTAGGTAGACAGAGACAGAGAACAAGCATTTACCTCGTATGTATGTACCATTCTTATCTAGGCGGATCCGCTACTATTAGTCTCATCGGGTGTTAGTTAGCATGCTGCTAATCGTCTCCTGTCTTGGGACTACTAAGTAGGGGATATATTACTCTATACATGTAGTCTTACAATAGGCAGAGCTTCAACCAGATAACTCCCTTACTATTTACTACTTACTACTTACTCGTTTATTTACGTTTACTATTGGAAGGGTCGGACTGAACATTGGAAGGAAGAAAACATACAAAAATAAAAATAAAAACAGGAAAAAAATACAAAAAAGAAGATGCGGTGAGTGCGGATCGAACGCACGACCTTCAGATTTTATGAATGAAGTAGAACTTCAGTCTGACGCTACTCCCAACTGAGCTATCCCCGCTCCCTATTATGAATAGCCTTGCTCCCTTCTTTCCCAAGTGAGGATGCGGGCCACTTCACATTGAAGTTTTCGTAACTTACCAACAACTATATGTCTATCTTTTTAGATTTACATCTGGTGCCTTAGCGAGCAGCGGTATCTAATCCCGGATTTGATGACATCTACATGATCCGCAGTTTCTAAATCTAATTCAAATGCACAGTATGATGTATATCAGAAGTAGTTGTTTTACTAGGTAAATAAGAAATATGTGAAATTATGAGTACGTGAAATTGGGAATAGACATTGGACATTTTCCCCCTTTCCCGTAGTAAGTACCTAGATGGGTACCTACCATCGGGTATGATTACACGTAGGTACCTATGAGTCGAGACATATTCAATTGACCTTATAACCAACCGACCTTGCAATTCTGGTTTTACCGTAAACTTGCGCCTTGTCAAAGATCGCAGAGCCTCACCAACGCCTTTTTACTCTAGTTCGGTAAGTAGCAGAAGACAGGGAGCCTATTGGCTGGGTAGCACCCCGCAATCCCGATTGGGCTGTATCATGCACTACCTGCAGCTACTTACAGCTACCTACCTCTCAGACTTACAACATGAATGTATGAATGTATATGAAGCTATCGACAAATCCACCAAACTATCCAAGTTACATTCTAGCTAGCTGGGCGCCCCTTCTGCCTATTTCTTCCACCTCCAAGTGATGCACTGGCGGGAGACAGATTCATCTTGAAGCTCTGAGTCATACGAACCGATAAACCCCTACAGGCAGAGATTGCTGGGAAAGAGATGCGGCAATGCGGCAGTGCGACAGTGCGGCAGTGCGGCAGTGCGGCAGCCCCTGTCGAGAATTAATGGCACAGTCTTGGCATTCTCCCTCCTCTGCCAGCTTATGTAATCAGTGCCATTTTTTCTCGACAGCGACTGTGCGGTTGGACTATTGAAAGCGAGGCTAATCCGTACTGGCAGACTTGGCAGCTTGGTCATTTACAATACGGCAGGCTACAATTTGTGGGCAAGCCTCCCTACCTTCGGATGCCGCTCCCGACGTGCTGGTACCCGACAGATGTAATCATGTCTAATTTCATTGTCCCCTTCTCGCTCCTCTCGTGTTACCATATCTTTGATTCTAGTTGATATCTTTGAGTGTACATAGGCATCCATCCTTACGTTAAGATATATACATATATATACCTGTATATATATTGTATTTTCTGTCCCCTATAACCCAGTGATTCCTATTATAATATAATACGCCAACGAAATTCAGCGTTGTCTGGCCTGTAGCTAGCTAATGATACATTAATTCATCGTAACCCGGCCCTTGTTCGAGATCCTAGAGACTTATACGCGTCTTTATTCCTCTCGTGTGTTTCGTACATGTGCAATTTTACGGGCCACCCCTATTCACACTATCACTCATCGATTTTCATTCCCAGATTCAAGCTCGCGTCCCGCCCACCCCGAATCGAGCTCACCGGGCTCCTGGGTAGCGAGTTCGTATCGTGGAGCTGCTGCATAAGGCGAATCTCTAGGGTCGAATGTGCCCGTGGTAGTGTAATGAGGCGACTGTACGTAGCCAGTACTAGGCGAGGTTGGTAGTTCCTTTGTCCACTCCGTTTGCTGCTGCTGTTGGAATTGCCCATTACCATCATTACCATCATTGCCATCCTTATTATCGAAGGATTCCGCCTGGTTCTTCCTTTGTTGGCGTCGCCGGGCCACGAACAGTACGGCAAGGAGTATGAGGAGCAGTCCAGCGATACTACCAATCACCGCACCTGCAATGGCGCCTCCCGAGAGATGAGAAGACGAAGGCGAAGAAACCTACAAGGCTCAGTTAGTAACTAGTGCGGCTTAGGGCTTAGGGCTTGGGATCCTGCTACTCACGACTGACGCCACCTGGAAGCCATCTATCGGGTGTGCATAGGCTTGATCGGTAGTCCCGGAGGCAACCCAGTCCGCAGTCGCCGTAACACTTGCGTTATCGTATGCCGTAACTTTGACAGTCTGACCGGCCTGGAAGGAGCTGTAACAAGTACCTCCGTACGCAGGCCGGTTCTCGTCTATCGTCGTTTCGGGAGGATGGAATAAAAAGTCACTGCGTTCATGATTAGACTCCATTAGAAGACGATTGGCCCTAAACCCGTCTCGTCCTTCCAATAATTCCATCATGCTACATGTATTACGCGTAGGGCAGCCGTAGGATGATAACTTACGAGGCGCAACAGGCGATATAGCCGTTCGCCCACGTCCTTGCCGTAGTCCAGCTTTCCGGACAGACCAAGGGAGAAAACATGGGAGCGATGGAACTCGAAGCATTGATTACCTATTATCCATTAGTAATCATCCTTAGAGAATGGAACTATTCTTTTGACGGCCGGTCCGCCTGCGATGATCATAGAGCAGCAGAGGCCTTGTGGGACATGCAAGGAAACGGTAGAATTCGAAATATCACATACTGCCGACATGTTAGTTTGCATTCGAAAGCAAGCACGGGCTATCGGGCCCAGCCGTTGAACTCACCACTCGTATATCCGTCGATGTAGCCGGGAGGATAGCAGTCGCCAAAATGCGATTGAGTCACTGGCTGGGGCTCGTTCAACCAGATCTGATACCCCGGCGACGACAGCTGGGTGAGATGCATCTCGCCGCATGAGGCCGGCGGCGTAAACGTGTCCGTCAGAGGTTTTACGGTAATATAAAAAACAGAGACCGGCGCTGGCGTTGCACTGGCGCTTGCGCCCGCTCCCAGCGCCTCCGACGATGTAATTGCTGCAGTAGGTGAAGCCGCCATGATTACCTTAGGTACACAGAAATGTTGGAAACTTGCAGAAAGAGGAAGGAAGAGAAAGCGGCGGCGACGACTGCGCAAGGAGCGAAGGATGTTTAGGATATGTAGGATATGTAGGATATGTACGCATACCTAAACTAGGTAGGGGGACTTTTGGTCGTCCTATTTTCGTAGGATCGCACCTAAGCCATTTTGGTCCTCGTGGAGCATCATAGCGCGAGTATGGTGGACCACCACTATCGTTTGAGCTGAGCAAGGCGGGCCCAATGTCACATCGGTGGCATGGTAATGAATTGCGATTGAGTGGGTGGTGAACGGCATTTTCCGCACGTATGGCGACTAGGTATGCGATTCCTTCAGCTGCGCCGCCATGTGGGATATTATGCTAGATGCATCTTCTCATTGGTGCCCCCCGAGGACGTCCTTTTTAGCATGCCATCGTTTCAGGTCTTCTCTAGGAAGCTCGCTGTCACTGCTGTTAGGAATAAATGAATACATGCCGTGTAAGGTAGTAGGTAGTATTAGACTCGGACCAAATCATTTTCGACTATATGCGTCGAGAGACACGCATACCTACCTACCTTAGGTAGGTATATATACATTGCATCGCCCGCTTGCCGTGGCTGCTTGATGGATGAGACCTTGGGTAACACGAAACGATGAGTCCTGCAAAGGGGGAGGGATGTAAAACTTGATTTTGGGGCCACGACGTTCTGGGCTGATTATGGGTACCTGGACTATTCTCGTTGTATACAAGCACGGCACTCGCATATTTTATCCGACAATTCTCCACCGTCACTCTCGGCCGTGCAAAACCTCGAACCGAGTCGGAATCGTACTTGCGACGGTAGGGGTTCATTCATACCCGACACACAGCTTGTCTCGAACGCTGCATTCTCCTTGGGCGAGCTTTCAACACCATGTCACTATAGAACAGGCGACACAATTCGAAACCAGTAATATAGTTAGTTAAACTACCCATTGAAGGTATCGCCGCGATAGATTCGCAGAAACGTCCATCTCGTGATTCATGAAAATCATGTCGGGCCAAGCCGCGAGGCTCTCGAACCCGACGACTTTTGAGTTTCCCATTCGCAGTACCCTTTCTTTATACCCCTGATCTCTCGTCCATAGAGCAACACTAACTAGGTAATCATATATCTCTTCCATCAACCCTAACGAAGGATAAAAACAGAAAGCTCGGGGGAAAAAAACAAGGAGAAAGCAATCTGAGAGCAAAGGCAAGCAATATGGCTCAAACCTCTGTGGGTATCTCTGCTTCCGACTCTAGCCCATCGGAACCCTCCCCGTATAAATTGCAGAATCACACAACAACGGCGAAAATGAAGTATGTCGCGAGACACCGAGCCATGACCGAACACATGGATATCTTACCTCCAGTCTGAAAGGCATAGCGCCTCCATTTGGAAGATACAGTAATACTGAGAATCAAACGAAAAAAAAAAAATAATAAAAAATATTGGAACTGCAGGACCGATATTGTGCGGCGAGAAGTTTCAGCTGCGGCATCGGTGACAGGGTAGAGTATACCCTCTCCGTCTTCGAATGGCGCCCTTCGTCACTTAGCTAAGCGGGGTATGGATATATCTAGTATCCCGAACCATCCATGGGAGCATTGAACGAGGGAGGGTCCATGGCCATGTATTCGAGCAAGTCAACGCCGCCTACGTTGACTCCCTGGTCCGTCATCGTCACGTTGGAGTTCTCTGCAATATTCTGGAATAAGCCTGGCCCAGGCGGGAGGTACCACATTTGGTCATCCGCAGCCCAGTCGTGAGACGCCTCGAAAATGTTATCGCCGAGGTTGGGCGTTTCTAGAACGTTGCCACCCATGGCTGGCGTAGTAGGCCCGAAGACCGAAGCTGACCCAGCAGGGTAAGGGAAGTTGCCCGTAGACAAGTCGAAAGGGGTCGCTGTGACATTGCCAGATGGGGTCGTGGAACGCTCTATGATAGTAATTAGCATCGTCGAAAAGTCGCATAGATGTGTCGTCGCCATAAACTTACCCGGAATAGTGAGTCCCTCTCGAAACTTAGCATGACTTAAGTACCCATTCTCTACGCCATTGATGTGGGCGTGTCCGTTTGTCACAACTGGCTTGCGATCCTCACCGTTTGGACGAGGACTTTTGCCTTCGGAGCTTGTCGCTGGTGCGTATTTGAAGCGATCCCGGAGTCGCGTTG